CTGGGAACTTCTATATGGGGGACAGGTAGCCTGTTTTTTTTCTTCAACCAATGATTACTGTCTTGGAGAAAAACTGTTATTAGGACAATATAAGTAGTAAGGGAATGCACTGAAATTATGTGGAAAGATCTTCTGCCTCCTTCCACCCTATGTGAAGAGAGCAACGAAATTTCAAACTTTGAAGAGTAAAAATGAATCAGCACATCCTTTGCCAGTCCTCTAGAAGTGAGGTTTACACTTCCCCAAACGAAATGGCCAGGACAATATAACAAGACTCTACTATTTTAATGGACTTTGGCCTCAAATAGTTGCCAGTGGGTAGCATAGCAGTACTTCGTTTATGAAGAACATTTTGCACAGCTTGGTGTTCTCTTGTTTCCCACTCTTTATCTTATTTTTTTTTTAAAAATCCTTTGGATTTATAATCCTTTGGACTATAATCTCAAGATACCAGAGATCAATTAAAAATACAAAGATTAAAGCCTCTTTTCTCATTATCTATGAAGAGGAGATGGGAAGAAAATGCATAACATCCACTTGGCAATAGGCGTTGCCCTCCCCCTTATGTCTTTTATTGCTTTTATTGGGGTTTTGGAATGTGTATATGGTAGTTTGTGTGTGTGTGTGTGTGTGTGTGTGTTTGGCAACTCCTTTTATAAACCAACTTCATTTGTTTTGTTACCTTGGCTCTTTGAGTGTAATTAATTGCTGGAACTCAAAAAGTGTCTGAAAACACAAACCCAAATACCATCGCCTTCTGTTAAAATATTACAAATTAGGAGAAAAGATTTAGCTGTGCTTTTGGCTCCAGGGGGTGATTTGATGAAATTCAACTAATCTCCCAAAGGGATAATCTGGACCCAGGTCAACTTGGAAGACAATTTTTGATGACCCTGAGGCTCTACTTCTGCCATCTTCCTCCTGGTGAGGGAAAACATACCAGCAGGTTTTAACCTGGCATTCATAAGAGGTGAGAGTTAGGTCTGCAACTAAGGTAAAGTTGAGGCTGGACAACTTCTGCCTTTCTATCTTTGACCAAGACTCTGGCAAGAGCTATCTGTCCTCCCCATGACAGTTTCCTAGGAAGTGGGATTGTGGTGGAAAGGAGGAGAGATAGAAGCCATCCCCATATGCTGCTGACTTTGGCTTAGCCGGAAAATAATTTATTTCCCTACACTCAGCTATTTAGATTGGATTCAAAAAAACGGCTAAAGAATAAAAGAATAAGTATTAAACATCTCCCTTAAGGAATTTGATATAATTCCCTTAATATGGAACATGAGTCCATATTAAGGTTTGAGATATTTTTTTCCTGATCCATGAAAGGATCTATCTAATATCAGGATTTGCTGAAAGAGCTGAAAAATAGCCCTAGTTCAGGACACCATTTCATTTTGGCTTGATGTGGGAAGTCTGAGTCTTGAGATTCATGCCGGATGCTGAAGAAAGAAGGAGAGTAGAGTTTTTAAAAGAACATCACATGTAGGAGAAGAAAGGAATTGTGCTGGAATATTTTTTGGGGGGGGGATAAGACAGGGTCTGGACTTATTCTCTCTGCATCCTCTGTAAATATAAGACCCTCCTCTCCCCAGAATGTACCGTATCTCCAGCTTGTGTAGCAACTACCACTGAGAATGTTCTGATTGCACAAGAATAGGAAAAGCCAGATGCTCAAGATCACAGAATATCTTACACAGTCACACCAGCTCTTCCCAGTAGGAAATAGGCCTCTATGTACACATTACAAATAACTTGAATTTGGACTGAAGGTGCTCCTTTACAAAGAAGCAACTGGCACACAGGCCTGTGCCTTGACATACCGTATCAAGTGCCAGGTCTACTGATGCCCACATTAAAAAAAAAACAAATCCTCTCATACCACCATGCTATAAATGCTGTATTTTTCTTTTACCCCACCATTTCCTGCTTCAGATCTCCACATCCTTTCATTAGGTGGAAAAAGCTAGGAATCAGCTGCCCTAGATAGTGCAATGAGCATCACTGCTCAAGGACTCCAAATTTTCCTTGGTTCCCTCTGCAAGTGCAAGAGCTTAGTTGCGAATTTCCCACAAATTAAAAAAAAATCTTGATTAAAAGAGTTTCCATCTCTGTACATGATAATTTTCGGATGGCAGGCTGCCAGATGAGCGTTAAATAATTCCTCCACAGTAAATGATTGAAAATAAAAGCCAGCTGCCATTTTTGGTTTCCTCCACGACTGCTTCTCTTTCCAGTTTGTGTCCTGGGCTCTCCAGGTGGGGCTGGCCACGTCAGACCTTGGCCTCGAGCATCTCAAGGAAGAGTTTGTGCATGGGGACTTTGCCTTGAAGTTTGATGCTGTAGAAGTGCTGCACAGCTTTGGCAGCTGTTTGCCGCAGGAGAGGCAGGGTCAGCAGCAGCTTTCCTGCACGTCGGGGTTCCTCGTGACGTTGACCCAGCTCGTAGTCCTGAAGGGCTTCGTGGAGAAGATCTTGTAGTTTCTGCACTGCCTCCATGTCCTCTATGTGCATTGAATCTTTAGAGGAAAAGCAAAATTAAGGAGGGAATCAGTCTAGATAAATGGGCAGGGAATATATTTAATCTCAGAACACAGTGTTTCATGGTAGAAAGGAGCTATCTGAAGAACCAAGAGAAACAGTTTCTGGAAGGTGTATCCTACTTGAGAATCTATGCAAAAAGTATGTTGGAAGAAACAGACATACCACTAAGTCAATCTATTTTTGCATTAAATTATGTAGCAAAGTTATTAGAATATGATTTTGATATACCTAAGATATACAATCCTCTCTTCTTACATTTAACCTTTTTGATTTCAAAATGAACAACAACTTCAGCACTTGGAGCTTTATACTGTATCATGAGCTCAAAGACCGACCTAATTATGAGTTACACTAACATTCTACATTCTCAAGAGACTTCTTCTAGATCAACTTGAAAATACTGAAAACTAATTTAAGAAGCCTTGAAACATTGGATGGGTTTGCCTGCTTTTTGCTAATCAGACGTCAGTTTGTTTGTCTATATTTCTGCTTTCTAATTTCTCTTCTGATATGCGAATTGGAAGAATCTTCACTGAATTATTTTCAAAGCTCTTGGTGCAATTATGTGGGCTGGTAACATGTAGCAAAAAAGAAAGGCAACAAAACAAAAGCAACAAAAACACTAATAATATTTTAAATTTATATGACTACCCAATCAGGGAGAGTCAAAATCAGCCAAAACTTTTATTTGACATTAAAAATAAAAAGCTATATTTACTTTACAGTTCAGACATTGTCTCCTATTTTTCCATAGGACCCAGATAAAGAGGTGGAGGTACCCATCCATGCTCTTATCAAAACAGACTCAAAGCAGTGGTTGCAGACTCATCAAGCTTCCTACCCTTGTTTTCCCAAGTGCACACAGGACCTAACTTTGATAAGGGATTATAAAAATGAGCCAATATTATGGGATTTATTTCCAGCAAGCCAATGCTGAACTGTTATCAATACAGCTCTGACGAACTGTTAATTACAAAATCAATAACTATGATTTTTTTCCCCTTATAGATGTCACTAGATGGGGAGCTATTGGCCTGAATTCAGATGGAGGGCAATTTCTTCCCAAGTTGTAACAATGGGCTTGTTCCTCCTTTCAAAGCACAGGTACCATTTTTTATTCTTACAACAACAACAACAAAAACCACCAGCCCACATTCCCAGCTGCGGATCCTTTTGTGCATGACTTTACCTGAATTGGCGAGAGCCAGGGCCTTCAGAGTGACAAACTCTTCCTTCTCCACCTTCAGCTTTTTGTACCTCCGCACCAGCTGCAGGATGGCCAAATAGAGCTCCAGGAGCCCCGTCAAACGCGAATGTTCCTCATCCATGATGTAATCTTCAGCATAGACCAGTTTATCCTCATATGGTAATGAGCGATACACAATACCCAGAATGAGGATTTCCATCCAGGCACTCTGCAGTAAGCTCATCTGGTCTCCCAGAGAAAGGTTAGAAAATCCTGGCAAGGCAAAGGAACAGCAGATTAAGAATATTGACCAAGTAAAGGCATCGGGATGCTGCTTCCTAGAAAGCTGGCAGAAGCAATTCACTTTATGGTTGTTGGGTTTTTTTTTCTTTTGACATAAGAAATGAGCGCCAAAACAAATGCCTCTGTCCGAAGACATCTCCATGGTCATGTGGCGGCATGACTAAACACTAACGGCACACGGAATGCTGTTACCTTTCCCCAAAGGTGGTCCCTATTTTTCCACTTGCATTTTTACATGCTTTCGAACTGCTAGATTGGCAGAAGCTGGGACAAGTAGTGGAAGCTCACTCCGTTACATGGCAATAGGGATTCGAACTGCCAACCTTCTGATTGACAAGCTCAGCATCTTAGCCACTGAGCCACCGCGTCCCTGATAGGACTGACTGAGCCAGTCCTATAGATGAATTTTAATAAGACAAAGGCCTATTCCAATTTTCAAAAGAGAAAGTGGCTTCATATAAGAAGCTACT